CCGTGGCTGTACCCAAGGTGTCGGCGAGAAAAGCCTGGTCTGCTGGGGGAGAGGGGGCGCTAGCTCTGCGTCTCTCTGGTCTGCTGGGGGGAAGCGCCCCCTGCACTGCCGGAGGCGGCGACAGTGGGGGAAGCACCCCGCACTAGCTGCGCCCTCTCCCCGGTCGTAAGGGGGGGGCGCTAGCTCTGCGTCTCTCTGGTCTGCTGGGGGGAAGCGCCCCCTGCACTGCCGGAGGCGGCGACAGTGGGGGAAGCACCCCGCACTAGCTGCGCCCTCTCCCCGGTCGTAACTAGGGGTCCGACTTAAGTCGGACTGACGTAACCCAGGGACTGCCTGTATTTAAAAACCTACTTTGTGGAATAATATATATCACTGCAAAAAATATTTGTTCATGAATAAGAATGTATGTAACTCAAAGATACTGTATGAAAAACAGGTCACGTAAAATACCATTTTTAAAGTTACAAACTGCTGAATCTGTATACCCCTACTTCTGTGCCTGTATCATTCTTGTATGTGAAGTTAGGAATATGAAGTGTTAATCTGTTTTTAATTGAATGTGCTAATGAGGGCCAGTGGTAATACTTTAGGAACTTAATGGCTAAGTACTCAGACCAATGACCCATGATTGGTTTTATTTTTCCTGTAAGCCCAAACTGTGGTTAGTGCTAGAAAGACATGTGACAGTACCACCTGGTACTGGAATCCATCTTGAATCTGGTATTTTTCCATGGGGATGAGGAGTGCTAAACAAAGGGTTCCTGCCCTGAGGAAAGTCTATTTAAGGAATGAAAAGCAATCAAGTCTTTTGTCTTTAGATGGCTTTTGAAATTACATCCACACATTAAGGCCACATCTCCACTTGCCGCACAAGTGATTGATCTCGTCCGGTGTTCAATTTAGTGGGTCTAGTAAATGCGGAGGACACCCCTAAAGCATTTGCTCCCATCAATTTCCCATTGTGGAGATGGCGCTAAGATCTCCATTTGCTCCAGATCTCAATTTCCCATTGTGGAGATGGCGCTAAGGTATGTCGACTCCAGCTACATTATTTACATAGCTGGAGTGGCATACCTCAAGCCAACCTTCTGGGTCTAATATATACATACCCTAGGCTAAGATGATACACATGAAGAGGCCTGGAAACACAGAATTGTAATTGAAGGGTGAAGGAAAAGCTGCTGGGCCCAGGTCAGAAAAAGATCAATTCTGGTCTGAGATAAGAACAACTGCTTAAGGTAAGAATTTGCAAGTAACAAGTTTCTTAATATGTTAGAATTAGCTGGCATGTTTGTTTATTTTGGCTTAGTAACTTTCTTCGAACTGCCCATTTCCAATTTCAATCACTTAAATCCTACTTTTTATATTTTGTGCATCTCTCTCTTTCATTGATAAAGAGAGTGAACTTCCTATCTTTCTCTGTGTAAAGCGTTTGTACATAGTAAGATGGATTTATTTGGGATTTTGGTGCTCTTTTGGAAGCTGTGTTCCTGGGTGCTATAAACAGCCTTATAACAGAGTCCTGGATCAGTGTTTGTATTGCTCTGCAGGAGGGCAGTAACCCCAACTCTGTTCCTTGTCTGGGGGAAACCAGAGCTTCTGGCCCAGCAGGAAGGGGGGAGCAGAGCCCCAGAAAGCAGGAAGGTAGACATCAGTGGCTTGATCAGCATACCAGGTGACAATCCCAAGGGGATTCCTGAGAGTCAATCCATCACAAATGTAACCAATGAAAAACGTAGACTTTCAGAATATTAACAAAGTTACTAAAAACTTACAGATAGCTAGATAGACACAGACAGAGAGATATAGCAGGAACACCCTGTATGTATAAGTCACCCAGGTATATATTGGTTCCGCACTAGCATCATTGACACTTGTGGAAACTTTTCCGCTTTAAGTCCTCCCATTCCACACCCTTCCGTTGTGCAAAAAATACCAATTTGTGCAAATGGAAGTCAGCCGCGGGAATAAATTTCCCCACGTTACATCCTTTTGCTATACATCCACTTTATTTGAACATATAGCAGGGATGCTCTGTACACACACACACACACACACACACACACACACACACACACATACACACAGGCCAGAGGAACTTAACGTTAGGGATGTACAAAGTCATTTAAAAAGGTAACTGCGTAACTGCTAAAATTCTTAGCAGTTACACAGTTACACATGCTGCAGACTCAGCAGTATAATACTTAAATAAGCTTTATATTTCAGAGCCCACAGCAAAACTGCCTCTCCAGAAGCAGGTCCAGCAGTCAGCTCCCTGGGACTGGGGCTGTCAGCCCCTGCCGCCCTGCTCCGGGGAATTAGTGCGTAACCTGTGGCAGGGGGGGGGGGGGGGGGCTAGGGGACAGGATCCACCAGGAGGAACAGGGCCCATCAGTAGGGCTGAAGCAGCACCCTGCCCAAGGCAGAGAGGTGACGGCTCCAGCCCCTACTAGTTAACCAAAACCGGTAAACCTCGCCTGTTAAAGGTGAGACTTACAGATTAGCCAGTCAACCTTTTATTCCCCTACCTAACACAATGTTCCTATGCTCATATTTAGGCACTACAGTCTGAGGGTTTTGAGGGTACCTAAATGATCTTTGGAACACAAGTCCCATTGACTTCCAGCTACAAACCCTAGTGCAGAACTGAAGCCCGGCTGAAACATTTCAGCTTTATTGACACATGAAAGTTCAATGTGCGGTTGCAAATGTAAGAGGGACTGTTTGTGTTGTTCCCATAGTAAAGATGACAGTGAGGCCCTAGACTTTTCTTTTTCAGCATAGATGAGCTTTATAGATGTGAAATGTAGGAAGAACTAAATAAAGTATAAAGTCTGACTCAAAATTAGGAAACAATAGAAACAAGCGTAAACTATTTTACCAACTTAAGACTATAGAATGTTAAGACACACATGAATGCTATATAAATGAAAATTATTTCAATCTTTAAAATTGAAATACAATATTAACTGTTTAATTTTTTAAATAAATTTTATTCACTCTACTTTATAAACACACCAATTGAAATGCCAGAAGGAAACATCTATCATCAAGACTTCTTTCTTGCATACCAAAAGGCCAAGAACTTCCCAGAAGTAATTATTGCCAATATTGGAGAATACTCCACAATCACTGGAAAGTTGTTCAAATGATTAGCTACCGTCACTTAATTTATGACTTACAAAGTTCTTCCATCACCTTGATGGAGAACACCATAGAACTGGCAACAGTAGAGAATTGTAGGGAACATGCATATTTTGAATGAAGTATGTTAATGTAGAGATTTAAAGCCGGTCAAAAGTATTCAAATAAGGAAAGATTTCTAAAAAGCAAAGCAAAAGACTTCATAGCACCTAGTAATTGTGAAATATGCAAATAGATTCTGAATTTTCACCTCAGTACCTTCATTCATTCATTACCAAACCTTTGAAAATTAAGCAACCTTACAGTAAATCTTTGCAAAGGTAATTAGATAAAACAGGTGCCTCATGTATTTTATATAATATGAGGGCCCTGAGAGATTTAATCTGACTTTTTAAAATATGTATTTCAAATAAAATTAGGTATTGTAGGTTGCAGAAGTAACATTACTTTAGCATGTGGTATTCTAGTGGCTCTAGATCATTGTTATTCCTCCCCTTCTGAGGTAGGCTGTTTCAGAAATCAGTGGCAGGAAAAAAATTAGGCAAGAAAACTAGGATACCCACTACTACTACTACTGCAGCTGTTTCTTTATCTTTACCTTCAACTCTCCAGTGTCTCCCTTCCTCAGTCTTTTCACATTTTTTTTCCTACCACATTTCTTCACTAAATATTATGACTGTTCTTACTTGCTGTGCAACCCACTTTCCTTACTTCTTATTTTGCCCCTTAACCACCCCATACTGTCTTTCAGCTTTGCTACATACAAAGCAAAATACAACTGTCAAGATTTCAGACACCTTCAGCTAAGGCATCAGAGATCCTTTCAATTTTACTTTATAATTCATACACTGGAGCAGCAAAAAATGAAGGACTGGTATACCAGCCACCCACACTGAGCCAAATACATTTATCTTTTGTCTTGGTAGAGTCAGTCCCATAAATTGGTCTCAAAATCCACTAAACATATTCAAAGTAAATGGAAAAAAATAAGACTGAGGATGCAGGGATTTCAGCTTAGTATAGGACTGAGGGCACTCCATATTTAGAAGGCTCACTTATCCAATGGTACTAGTGTGAGCAACAGCACTGGAGTGAAACCAATATGGCACTTTATTCTATGCTCTTGCTAAATATGGAAGAAGTACTATATTCAAACCTAACAGAGAAGGTATTGATTAAATTCCTGTAGTGCACATGCAACTATTTAATCCAAGAGTAAAGGCAGAAATACATTTATTCAATTGCTTAAAATAAACTAAAATCTATAGGAAAATGAAGTTTACATAAAAAAATATACATTAGATCACAAGGTTTTTGGGGTCAGTAAAACAGTCTTTTCTTAATGTATATTCAGGACTTAATCCCAATGTATACTCCTTATATGGCCAAGATAACCAAAATGTTCACAGAGACTCACCAAACTTAACTGAGATTCTGATTTACAGCATTGCAGTAATTTTCCAAAAGTTCCATGCAAATGTCAGGTACTGGCTGCACTCTGCTTTTCAGTTTCAGCAACTGCAAAAAACCCAAAACACCCCAGTATTTTATGAAACAGTTCCCAAACTAAAGACTAGAGATATAATTTACATGAAAGACAAATAAAACAAATTTGTATTATTCTAGAACTTTTCTTCTGAATTTGGTAGATTTAAATGCAAAAATCAGCCACACAGGTTGGCAGCAATTCTGTCTTTATAACGGAAAGAAACTCAGAAATAGCTGAAGTTTTTATTTGCATAAATAAAACACGTTATCTTTGAACGTTATGCTACTGAGAAATAACTAACCACAAAGTGTTAGCATGAATTCTTTATTAATTTTGAATCTGTACATTTTGCCAAGGAGAAGTGGTAAGTTATCAATAAAACTATTCAATTTTATAATCTTGAACACGTCTGCCTGCCATTTAACTTCTGCACAACACACTCTACTTGGGTGATTGTGACACAGCCAGGAGCTGAACATTCAGAAAAAGTGCACAGGAGCCCTTGGTTAAGCAAAAAAACAAGAACAAATCCTAACACGTACAGGGATCTTGTTCATCCAGAAGAACACAAGTATCTGACCACATTATTTTCATGCATTTTAGGCCATGTCCACACTGCAGTAATATAGCTGCAGCACCTTATTACAGATATTTCCTACAGTGGTGGAAGAAGTTTTTCCATCACTGTAAGTAATCCACTCCCTGAGCGGAGATTCACAGATCAACAGAAGTATTCTGTCACTCTAGCTAGGTAGGTTGGCACAGAAAGAGCACCCAGGAGGAGTAACACGGCCAATAAAATTGTAAGTGGAGATAACCACCAACTGGGCAGATTTTTGCCTTCAGGGCTGCCTGTCTTAGTTTGCAAATCTTTAACAGCTGTTTATGTAAGAACACTATGGCACAGTTTGCAAATCTTTAACAGCTGTATATCTAAGAACACTATGGCACATTTATCACAAGGTCCACACAGACAGCACACAGTAGGCTAGTATATTGTACATTCACAACCCTGCTTGCTGTGCAGTAGGTCTTCATGTGGGCAAGTCCTCTGTTTCTTCCTCACATGACAGTAGCTCAACTGTTTTTCTCACTTCCTTTAATAATATATTAGGGCAAGAATCTACCCTGGGATGGATTATTTAAAACCAGTTTCTTCTTTTGCTTTTTCAATACTGATGAATTAGGAGACTATTTTCTCAGATCATTAGTTCTTACATCCTAGTGCACACATTTTGAACAAATTGTATTTTCTCTTTACTGTGAATGACACAGTAGCCCCAGTAATTGTGTGTGACTATAGTGTCAGGGGAGCCTGCTAATTAGGACCAACCTGCAACGAATGGCAGAACCACTCCCCAAAATTGGTGTCCATGCCAATATTAAGATTTACCAAACCAGGATAAACAGTGTCAGACACCTCACCAGTTACCCAGAAGCCAATAACAGTCTCCTTAAAACAACTCAGCATACACATTCCACCAGGCATCCAAGTTAAATGAGATGAGGAAAATTTTCTTCATTACATAAGAAAGTTCTACCAATCCCAAGCAATTGGACACATTACCCCCTAGGTTAATGAATATTTCAGATCTTACCCCAAATATACACTTGTAACTAATTCTTAACAACTAAACTAGTATTAATTTTAAAAAAAAGAATGCATTGGGTAAAAGAACAGCATTATAGCAGTAATAAATAAAGTTCTCAGATCCGATTTCATAGTAGAGTTGCTGAGTTTTGTAGTTGCAAATAATCTTTACAGCAACAGTCCAGAGTTATCAATTTAATGTCCATTTTAGGAGTACCAGTGTATCCTGGGATCCCAGTCTTGTGACTTGAAGCTTTTGCCATGAAGCATTTATGTAGATATAGATTAAGAAAGGATCAAGTAGGACATATCTTTATATAAATCCAAGCTTCCCTTGACAGCTTAAAGTCACTAAGTGAACAATAGGTGATCCTGGAATAATGATGTTAAATATCAATTAATTTACTAGTCAAGTAGTCAATAGGCACTTCCGCAGTCCTCCTTTGAAATGTACAAGAATCCCCCACTGACCCTGGAATCCATGCGGTGCTGCTGCTTTGAAATGCTGCGCATATCTGGGGTCAGCTGGGGGAAACCCCAGCTGATCCTGAGCTCCGCGTAGCATTTCTACACATCCCGGGGTCCCCGGCTGATCCCGGGTTCCATGGAAATGCCACAAGGAGCCCGGGGTCAGCTGGGGACTCCTGAACTGACTCCAGGTTCTGCAGAAATGACTCCCCAGCTGACCCCAGGCTCCATGTGGCGCTGCTGCTTTGAAAAGCCATGCAGATCCAGGGTCAGCTGGGGACTCCCCAACTGATCCCGAGCTCCGCGCACCATTTCTGCAGAACTTGGGGTCCCCAGCTGATCCCAGGTTCCATGGAAATGCCGCGTGGAGCCCAGGGTCAGCTGCAAACTCCCCAACTGACTCCAGGTTCTGCAGAAATGCCGCTGGAGTCTCCCCTCACTGACCCCATGCTCCACAGGAGGTCAATATTGTGTAGCAGTATTACCAACACTTCAACTGCTTACTGGGCTCTTAAAGACATTTAGGGATAAATTAGAGCTAAAAACAACACAGAACACTGAGAGGACTGGTGATTGTGAGCAAACTTTATAGGACTGGGAAATTTAGCCACCCTCCATGATAAGCAGACATCCAGCTAACTAAAATCATGCCAGACCATGGATGTTGCCAGACCAGAAAGTGCCAGACTAAAGAGGTTCAACTGGTACAACATAAACAGGAATGATTTGATTACATTGCTAAACCTTTAAAAATATCTATGTATAGAGCCCTATGCGAATTTAAAAAAAAATTGTATCCACATCTGCATCCATAAAAATGAGCAGTTGATATCTGCATCCATATCCACAGGTGCAGATTCCCATGGATATAAAGTGAACATTCACAATTTATGGATTTACATATATAGAGCCCTGCAAAACAGAAACAGCTGCCTAAATACATGTCTCTAAGGGCATTATGATTAAAGCATTTAACTAAAGGAAAATGCACCATCTACACATCCAATGATGAATCGTGGAGGGACCAGCCAGTCATTAAGAGAATCATGTCGACTGCAATTGGGAGCGTTCAGCACTTTTGCAAATCAATCCCCAGGGCACCCAGACAATAAGGAACCCACCAGTAGTAAACTCTGAAAAGGTTTGATTTAAGTGACTTCCTTAGTACCACACACAAATTCTGTGGCAGAGGCACAGATGGGTTATGTTAATTCTAGGATAAAAAACCCACTACTTACTCAGGCCAGCTGACTCAGGCTGCACAACTGTCCTATATTTTGCACACCTTCAGGAAGTACTGTAATAATCAGGATCATATTGAGGAATATAAAAATATCTTTGAGGAAAGTTTGTTGATTAACACAAGAAAAAAAGTTCCAGGGTGCTGGTGGCATTCATAGAGCAGCTGTAGACAGTAGAATGACATTTCTGGGCCAAGAAACAAGCCCTGATTGGTGGATGCAGAACTTTCAATTGAGAAAGGTCTTGTTTCTAGATTTGTGTTGAGAGCTCACCCCAGCCTTCCAGTGCAGACATATCAACTAAACCTGCTTTGACAGTGGAGAATTAAATGGTGATCACCATGGGTGGTGGGTGACCCCATGGCTTCAGCAGGCGAACACCTCGATATTCTCCTTTTGGCCCTGTCCCTTCTATGTCCATCTGATCAATCCCCTCTGCTGCAAAATCTGGCCACTGCTAGCCACTGCACAGGTGGCCCCCAAGTGGTCACTGCCCCTTACCCCTGCCCCAGGGTATTACCCCCAACTGCCACCAGAGAGCTGGAGGGTGATGCGGCCCCAGCCTGCCCTCTGAGAGCTAGTAGGTGACATTACGGAGAGTAAGAGGGCAGTGTGGCCCCAGACAGCCACAGAGCTCCAGAGAGCTAGCACCTACCTCAACCTGGAGAGCCAGCAAGTGGCTGGTGACAGACAGCACCGTCCCAACCTTCCCGAGCACTGGAGAGGAGAGCCAGGAGCACAGCTCCAGGCTGGACCCCTAACTAGGAAGTCCTTTCCCCCTGCAGCTGAGCCACCAGCTCCAGCGCTGGGAGGGCAGGTGGTGCGGTGCAGCCCCCAACCTGCCTCTGACACCGTAACAGCATTCCAGGGGAGGGGACCTGGGGGCCTCAAGTGGAGCATGGACAGGGCCAGTTAAGGCAGTTTGGAAAGTATATCCTTTTCATGTTTGCCATGCTTGCTGCCCATGGTGATCATGTTTTGGAATGCTGTCAGTGGGAAATCTTATTAGATTTGGAAAAGTTCACCAGATCTACTGTCATACAACTAAGGAGGTCAATTAACAGTCAACTGCTATGCAGGACTGTGATTCTAAACAATGTGCAAAAAACACTGGATAAATTCAGCACTGGGGTGAAAGACAGAATGCACAAATTTTATTGTAGCATCAGCCACCCCACTCCTGAGTACATCAAAAGAAAGGAATACTTCTCCAGAGTTATAGTAGCACTAGTGGACCACTGAGGACACTTCACAGATATGACTATGTGTTGGTCAGGAAAGGTATGTCATGCTTGCTTCTTAAAACACAGGACTGTTCAGAAAGCTGCATGCAGGGACATTCTTTTCTGAGTGACTGGAGATGTGGGAATGCCAGTAGTAATGCTGCAGGGTCCGGCCCATCCCTTGCTACCCTCGCTCCTAAAGACACGTGTTGGCCATTTGGATAGTGCATAGGAAAGATCAACCACCAGCTTAGTAAGCGGAAAATGATTGTAGAGTATGCTTTTAGGAGACTGAAGGGTCTCTGGTATGGTTTACTCAATAGATGAAATCTCAGTTGAAAAAAACAACACAATGGTTATAGCTGTGCTGCATAATTTATGTGAGACAAAGTGGGAGAACATGCCCACAAAGAAGGTGGTGGTGAGGTGGAGCAGCTGTTTGCTGAATATTAAACAGCCAGATGCCTGGGCTATTTGGAAGAGCACAACATTGAGCTCTGCATTTG